GGAGGAAAAAAAAGTGGCCCTTCGAGACAACTGTATAATTAATCTTTTATGTAACTAATCTATTTAATAATCAAGCATCAAAATATTTACAGTTTTGTCTGAATGCTTAAACCCTAACTGTGATTCCTGTAGCACAATCTCTAAAACTATTCAGACTTATAGCGAAACCACTCACTGAGTTTGCAAAACTAAAAGCACAAAAACTGCTTTGCTCTCAGTTTGCAATTTTGTAACACACACTTTGCAAAACTGTAGGCACAATTCACTGCACAACACTCAATTACCAAATTTCCAACACACTCCTAGCAAAAGTATACACATGTATGGCTATCATTAACACTAATTTTCCAACTGTCTGGCCCACTTTCACATGTGAAAACTTTTTTAGATAATTAGTTCACTTTGCAATCAGCCTAAGCACTATAATCCAGGTAAGCTGTGTGTGCGGAGTACAATGGAGGGAGCAGAAAGAGTGAGAAGTAGAGGAGGCCGAGGAAGAGGACGTGGAGGTGAAGAAGTAGGATGAAGAGGACGACAAGGACAAGGAGGAGCAAGAGGAAGACGAGGAGGGGGGAGAGGAAGATGAGGAGGGGGAGAGGAAGATGAGGAGGGGGGAGAGGAAGGGTAGGAAGAGTAAGAAATGGAATTGCTGATGACATCAGAGCTACAATAGTGGACCATGTAATCAACCGTGGAATGACCCTGAGGGTAGCTGGCCAACGGGTCCAGCCTAACTCGAGCCGCTACACTGTAGCAAGCACCATAAGGACATCTTGAAATGAGAATCGGTTAGTACAGTCACTTCGCACAAAGATTTGTAGCACTGCCATATGCCAATGAGAAACACACCAATACCATTGATGTAAAAATACTGAAATTGTTACTTTACAGAATTGCTAGATGACCAGATGCTGGGGCGGAGGAAGCATGTTCACTGCAGACCAAGTAACCCATATAGTCATTATGGCGATTGCAAATAATCCTATACTTGGAAATAAACACTTGTGTTTGTTTTGATGTACTTGAAGTTTGGATCCCTCTATGCTTATGGATCTATGACAGAAGTATGAGCTCAAACTGACATAGCCTACCTTGTGCACAGAGAAAGCAAAAGCCAGATGTGTTTTGTATTCATACCATCAGTGTGCAGTTGGTGCATTGTGTGCTTAGTAGATGATGGCTTGTGTGTACTGTTTGATACGGAAACACCATTTTTACAAAGGTGTGAAGAGTTAATCCAGCTGTGTTTGCTTTTGCAAGAGAACTACAATGTTTTGATGATTGGGTGACAGGTTTTCTTATTTGTGTGAAGAGTTTTGCAAAATTAGCCAATAGTTACAAAAAATGTGCTTAAGCAATCAGAAAAAACTGTAAGTCGTAGAATGGCCAAAAGTTATTCACAGTTAAGGGTGTGACTGTGACGGTTGGTGTTTTCAGTGAGAGTTGGGTACGGTTTTGTCTTGTTCAGCATTCAGTTATAGTAATGCTCAGCGAACTCCGCCGTTTTCTTTCACACAGGGATTCAGACAAGATGAAACCCTATGAAAATACGAGATGGAGAAAATGAGGTTCATCCTGTTCAGTAGTGGAAGTCATTAATCACTAACCCAATTAGGAGAGGAGCTAACTTAATAAATCACTTTGCACAGCTCGCAGTGAAAAGAATTGTCCAAAAAACCCAAACTTGGTTATGCGTTTGTGGCTTTTGTCAATGCTACGCAAACACCTGACTTTATTTGCACACACTGCACATCATAAAGCTTCTGCTCATTAACTCAAAGTTTCTTTCCAGCACAGTTCACAGTCCAGGACCAGCTTCGCTTGTCCACTTGTGTGTCAGCAATACAGGATGAGTGCTCCACCTCTCTTGTGGCTGAGGCCAAAACTACACCCAACCACTGCACTCTTTTAAATTGCATAAAACGGAAAATATGTAAAGCGTGGGTGGACTTCATGATTATATGTGAGCACAGTGTCATCATTGGAATGTTTTTATAGTCACTACTTGAAGACCAAGTGACATCCTTTGTCTGTGAAAGACAGAAAATTCTGTTCTTTGACTCGTAACTTGGTGCTTGCTGGGTCCACTGAAATTGAAAATTTTCTATCCTACAATCTCTCTCTCTCTCTCTCTCTCTCTCTCTCTCTCTCTCTCTCTCCCCCCCCCCTCTGCTTTTGTCCAGTTTTCCTCTTCAGTACAAATGAACTTTACTACTACTCACATATTTAAGCAGCATTAATTCTCAATGCACTAAAAGATACTCTAAAAGGTATCAAGACTGGTTGCGACAAGCCAAAGTTTTTCTCACATAGGTAAAAACCAATAGGAAGGTATGAACGTGCATAAGAGGAAGGACATACACTTTGCTCATTATTGTCTTAATAACTGGATTTGTTTTGATAAAACATGGTTAATTTGGCCTCCAGCTGGGTTACAAAAACATCAAAATTATATGGTCAAAAATTGAGATGAGTCATTTTTGATCACCAGATGCAGATACTATCTGCTCTTCCAATTTGTAGTAAATAGGTCATTTGGTGCGAGGATGAAGGGAGTCTTAAACTGCTATTTGCGATGTTTAAATGCTCACTGTAGTATAATTTGTGCTTATTGTGCAGTTAAATTAAGTTTCCCTTGGTCTGGTTTTGACTAAAAGAAGAAGAGATAAATAAATTACATACAATTAGATACATAAATAAATAACACTGTGTTGCCAGGAATGTCAAGTGTTGCTGCCCTCAACTAACGCCTTTTACCATGCAGCAAGCCCTCTTCATCAAGATTATATTATAATTGTGACCTTGCCGGCTGACATAATGTTTCCTTTTGCCGACCAGCAATAAGACTGAAACGTGATACATGCAAAAAGAATGTATCCTACCAAAGGCCTTGTAAACATATATCAGTTACAGCACTAATAGAGTTCACATTCAGAGGGCATTTTTCTATTTATGGCTGTTTCCTCTGCGTGTTGTAGAACATCTATGTTACACTGTTAGAACAGTGATGACAGCATCAACAACAAGGTTGAAACAAGCTAATTATTAACATTTATTTAACATGTGCAGGAATGGCAGGACCCGTGGTAATTACTTGCACTTCTATAGTGGCTCTACTGACACTGTAGTGATTATAGGTTGTAAATCCTGGCTCAAGCACGATCATCATAGGAATGCAATATCAAAGACGCTAGTATTGATGGAGAAGAGCGCTGTCAAAGTCGTGAGAAGGGGGTTAGATAGAGATGATACAGGGGTGATCTTAAAGGAGGATATAGGAAGTGGGAAAATTGATGTGTCCTGAGATCAATAACGAAGAGCATTCGGATCTCAACAGTGTAACTGAATCGCCTTGTGGCTGCTGCTGCTGTTTCAGGGACATCAGCCTCTGTGTCCCCTGAGCTGATGATCAGTGTGAAAAATGTAGAAATGCTAGTGTCAGGGAGATTGTAGAAGAAAAGGTTGGGAGAGGTTTGAAGCAGATAAAGCTGTCCAATTTTTGGTGACTCCAACTGGTTCGTTGCCACGTTTTCTTGGATCAATATCCATCAACACTGGTTTTCCTTAAATGTAAAGGCTAAGTACCTCAATGGGCATCAAACACAATTACAATCCTTAGACGTGCATTAGTGGTTTTGGAGTGGTCTCACCAAATTTAGTATGATCTTGACAAAAAAAAAAAAGATGAAGCAGATGGCACTTAATGGGACTAATGTGATCTAAACTTCAATAAACCTCAACGTGTCTGGCAGGTTTCCAAACAAGTGTTTCAAAATGCACTATTTCAAAATGCAGTCAAAGTGTGAAACTGCCAAATACTGCACTAGAAAATGAGTCATGATTTAAAGAGACTTTTCAGCTTGGTAGATAAAATTCAGGACTAGACATCAAAAACACATTTATAGTCTAAACCCCTTTCAGGAGGCTCCTCTTCAAGTACGCACAGCACTAAATTGTGCCGTAGCATCAGCAACACACAAAACCAGAATTCAGTGAAAATCAATCCTTTTCACAGTGCACTTCTCGCTGTGAAGTGGGAGGAAGAAAAACCTCATCTTTCAGTCTTAAGCTCAAGATCATCACACAAGACTGAGCTGCTGCTGATCTGTGGCTCAGCTGAGTCGCCCTCTTGTGGTGCATGGCGACAATGCACCTTGAAGTCCATCATAGGACTATACTTTTTTTTTTTTTTTGCAAAAGATTCACAACACATTCAAAATAATAATGACAATAAAAAGATAAAGTAGTAAACTAAAACCACTATTAAATATAAAAGAAGGAATAGCTGCAGTGATTTTGTGGACTTGTTTTTCTGTTGACCTAATTTTAGAGGTAAGTTTGGAGACTACTGGAATCCGTGGTGCTCTTTCTTTCTGTTTCCAATATCGTGCCTCCTTCCTTCACCTTTAGAAACATTAGAAACACACTTTAGCATAATGCAATCCAGCTCAACAATGCCACAAGCTACAGCGAACTCTTTGGCACACCAGCAGCTACTCCACCACAAAAAACACGATTAATTGAAGAACCAAACGCTACATTAGCATAAATATGTAGACACTCACGAGTAATTGTCATTACTCGTAAACTGGCTGATACTCGGTGGTCGACTTAGCCCAGGTGTTAGAAAGAGGGTTTCCCCAAACCTCTCACGTGACTCTTTCGTATAAGATATAAAGATACAGTATCATTAATTTTAGTAACGTGCGCGATGATATTAGATCAAAGGCAGGATAAAAGTGGCATGAAAGTGTTACTGTGGGGCCAAAAGAATGTAGACAGATGTGTCCACATACTTTTGGGTATATAGCAATAACAACAAAGACGTGTGTGGGGATTATTACTGAATGTGCAAAACATTCATGTCGGTCTTTAATAATAAATATGAATCATTTTCATTATTTGATATTTTTCAGCTAGTGAGACCTCACGTGAGACTAAAACGACAGAGAGAGAGAGCGAGAGAGAGAGAGTGCGTGTGTGTGTGAGAGAGAGGGAGAGGAGCAGGTTGCACTGCAGGAGCATCAGGAGTAATAAAGTGGAGGGTGGACGTGGCCCTCTCCTCTTTTCGCCTGCCTCCTCCGCAGTGCACTTGCAGTACTCCGGACAGGACGGTCTCCTGCACCTCCTCCTCCGCCTCGTCTTCACTCTGTGTGCTGGTGCGTTAGTGTGTAAGTAGTGGCGCTGCTGAGGAGGTGCACCTACACTTGCAACTGACTCCGGTCCAGAGGTCCCGGACAGACGCGCGATGGTGCGGACTCATTGATAAAATCCGTGCCGCTGGAATTAAAATGAGCACTTCTGCTGAGCGGCTCTCCTCATACACATAGCTCTGCTTTCTCTGCACAACACCTCTTTTATGTGACTCCGGCTGACGAATCAGGATGACTTCTACCTTATCGCTGGTCATTTCATGCTCTTTGGTAAGTAGTCTGTGCAGTAAGTGACTGCAGCAGTACCCTGCTTCTTTAATGCTGTCATTCTTTAAATGGAGTTTCAGTGACCCGATGGACTTTTTCATTTCACTTTTTCATTTTTTCAGGGATTTCCTTTCACTGTGACGTCTCAATAATGATTCCCTCAGTAACATGCCATCTGAAGCTGAAATTGTTTCCCACTTTGCAAATCTGTGCTGTTGCTGCTCCTGTTGGGACTTTCGTGGTGACTTTTTCTTGACCATTGTGTGGCATTTATAATCCGTTTTGAGAAATTTCTGTCATATCTTTGTAAATATGTATTTTATTGCTGTTGTGAGGCAAGCAGTAAGTCGTTTATCTGGTTAAACGTGACACGCGGGTGCTGCATGTAGCTACATGTCAACTCATTTGATTATGACTTTGTGGACAGACCAGTTGATGTTCAGCTGTGCGCGCACCCACCAACCCACCCACCCACACACGCACGCACGCACGCAAGCACGCACATACGTTCCCCTAAATGCGCACTTGTACCTCCCTTTTGGTTTTCACGCATGGGAGAAAAAGTTCAGAAGCACTGCTGGAATTATGTTTATGGAAAATATCTTCGATATCTTCTTCACCCTGGGTCACATGCATCCACCAGAAGCTTCTGGTGGATGCTTTGACCTAGAGTTTAATACCTGTAATGAGTTTATAATAATGTTTTGTCAAAATGTTTACTCTTTAGGGTATTTTGGCCATATTTGGGGTGTTAAATGAAAACCAGAGAAAGATGCTTGAATGTTCATGCAAAAATGTGGATTTTTTTGTTTTTGCTTAAAATCATATCATTCTTAAAATTAAAGTACTGATTATAGGAAAAAGGTTGATTATAGGAGATGGTGGTAATAAAGCCAGAAGCAGAGGTCACATCCTCCCAGCACTCTGTTAAGTGCACAGCAGCTGGTCTTATTGGGCTGTGTGGCTCAGTCATCATGTGAACAGCCCTGGATGTGAGTGGACACTCTGTTATGACAGCTGGTTTAAAGAGTGGTGACGGTCGGATGCACTTTGGTAGAATTAAATTTAGAAATAAACTCTCAAATTGACCATGAAATTGAAGTGGGAGCAAACCAAGCATATCATAGCTGCGTCACTGTACATTTTTATTAATATGTGTATGCATATTCCTGCTGCCCATTTCACTGTATTTGTCATTAATCTGTGTTTTAGCTGAGTGAAATTCCTGTGAGACGTAAAAGGAAGGGGAGAGCAGTTAGAGACATGAATCCATCCCCTGTAAGAAGGAATGTCTTTTATGGTTTTGGGATCCACCCAAGTTTCATTTTTGCAGACTCAAAGTCTGATAATTTACTCTCACAGATGCAGAAATTTGTGCAAAAACGTTGAGATAACAGGCTGTAAAGTCAGGAAAAATGATTAGGAAGAGGAATGCACCTTGAGAGCAAAAAGTGGAGTGACAGATAGGGGGAAATATTGAGCAAGAGAAGTCGGAATGAGAGAAAGAGAGAGAGCGGTGCTAGCTGCTCAGTACATCTGTTTCTGAATGAAAGCAGGGACAGTAGAGAAGGGGGGGGGGCAAGGAAGGATGACAGAGAGAAAGACAGAAAAAAGACTGAATTGATGTCTCAGCAAATGTGAATTAAGTGGAAATGAGCTTTTGCTCGTTACATAATAAAAGCCACAGGACATGAAAGTGACTCAGTATAACGCTTTTCTTTGTTCGCCAACGTCTGGGTATGAATTCTTTTCATTTTGCATTGTTGTACACACACCAGCGGAACAAGCCTCAGTTCTTTTGCGAGTAAAGCTGCATGGAATTTATATCAGAGAGGACTGAGGGAAATGCAACACAGAGGAGGTGATAATGGGGGAGGATGGGGCATTACCAGACAGGATATTAGTGACAAAAAATTTGTGCATTCATGAAAGAAACACCATAAAAAGCATTTAGAGTGCAGAGACCACATGATTAAATGTGGTGCTTAAATATGCAAAGAAACAAGACTTTAGAATTAATTCATGACCTCAGCTGCTGACTCACACGAGTGAACTTTTTTTTTTTTAATCTGGGGCCTATCTCCCATTTATTGTTAAAAGTCTCCACAGTGTAAACTTTCACCTTCAAACTTAATAAAAAAATGAACCTCCATCATGTAGACCAATTTGAGTAAAGGATGGATTTACACATTCATGTTATGGTTGAGGGAGGTTAGTGAGAGGAAATGCACTTTTACAATTTATAAAGTCCTCACAAGTGTAGAAATACAAGTGCTTGTGCGCATGTGCCAGAGGAGATCGGAAGCAGAGGCTGACATTCACAACAACTTTCACCTTTAGACAGTAATTAGGACAGGCATGTGTATAATGTCGTGCACCCATGATTTTATGCTTACTGCCCTGGCTGGAGCATGTCATAAGTTTACTATTAGAGCTGATGTGCCTTTAGGGGAGCTATTAGGACAGTTTAGACGACTGCCTTGTTTAAAGTGTGTCTAATGTAGGCGGAGACAACATGATTTATGATGAATCCCAATGGCAGTTAGAGTTAAGGAACAGGTTGGACACCTGGCAGTAATTTTCATCAATTTGCTTTGCCTTGCACGCCACAGCGGTCCTGCGCAGCACGTTTGTCTATGTGTGAAAGTTTGCTCTCCGATTTACTGTGCCGGTGTCCCGGTGTGCCAGGTGGCAGCGGTGCTGGCCTCCAAGACGGAGCGGGCTGTGCTTCTCTCCTGCGAATCTCGCCAGTTCACCAGGAATGGAGAATGCTGCATTGAGTGTCCACCTGGAGAGGGAGTGTTGAAGAAATGCGGCGTTACTCAGACCGTCTGCACTCAGTGTTTGGACAGTGAGTATTGTATTACTGTTATTATTGTGCATGCAATTAAAAATGAATAGAGTAATCAAATCAAAGTTACAAAGCAAGTTTCTCTGATGTTGGTTAATATATCATTATTTGGTGAAATGTTTGTTTTTTGCTTTAGGTTAAATCCTAGAATAGATGTGTGGAGAGTGAGGCTGCATATCCACTAATTAACACTTTGTTAACATTTACAGCTTTCAACTTGATTAAATACTGTGCAAATGCTCTACCAATGGCTTGCTATTATTTATGGCTGCAAAACACACAAGAGCCAAGGGGATTTTTTTTCTCATTTACATGAGCCAAAAGTATTTTTTTTCCTAACTGTAAAAATAGATTTTTTTTCATTTCCACTAGGAAAACACATTTTTTTTTACTGATCAATAGGCAACAATGCATAAACCAAGCAAATTTCAAAATATTGTATTAAAAGATAACACTTTTGAAACCATTTTGTGATATTTACGGAATTTTGTGTTGCCTTTCCTATTTGTGGCCCTGAAACTTTCCGCCTAAACAAAGCTCAACAACAATGAGTCTTACCGCAACCAAAATACAACCACAAACCACACAAAGAGTTTTCATATAAGTGCAGAGTGGTTCTAATAAAGCAGGTCGAACATGTTTTTTTTTTTTAATCACGGGCATTAAGCAACCAACTCTTAAATCTTTGCATTATAGAACTTTAGGATGCAAAAAACCTGACTCTACTTCTTGTAAGGCCAATGTAAGAGGATTAAAATAAATCCAGAAACAAATCAAACACAGTATATACACATATAAACTCACGCACAGCTGCAAAACTGAATGTGATTACCAACATAGACACATGTGATCAACAAAAACTTTTAACAATTGCATCATCTTTATTTACACATGCCATTCATATTTGGGGGTCTCAAGATCCAAACTAAAAACAAAGATTTTCAAAGCCAGAAATACTGTTATTGACCAATTTGTATAAACTGTATGATCTGTCTCTATCAAGTTACCCCCAAATAATGCAGGAGTTAATCAGTTTGATGCTTGTAAGTGGGTCCAAATGTGTTCATTTAAAGCTCAGCTGAGGCTGTAAACCATTAGGGCCTTGCTCTATGCTTTCCCAGAGTTGGGAATGGTTCCTACTTCGCAACAACACAAAGAAGAAAATAAGATTTTTGCATTTTGTCGTAGCAGTTCTCTTGTTCTGTAGCTCTGTCAGCATGCAAAGTAAAGGTCTCGAGTGTCACTGCGTAGTTCAACAAAAGCTGCAGAACTGTTTAACACTGACTTGTGGCGTGAATCCATTATGGCAACATGTGCTGAAAAATCCTTTCATAAACAAGAAGTGCTGAGCAAAAGTCTTTTAACATCAAAATCTTCCCATGTGCTAAACAGAACCCTCCAAAATATCAACTGGATGCCATTACGAGGGAGATGATTAAATTGTGGAGGAATGATTACGGACTGGCAGGAATACTTTTTATCCACAGAGAATTCAAGTCTTGGACTTGTGAATTTGTTTGCATAACAAATTGCAAATCTCTGAGCCACATTATGTTATTTAAGCATCTCAAGTCGGTCTAATTTCAATCCTTTGAAGTTTTTTTGCCTTGGGTATCTCAAGAGCTGCAGTTGTTGGTGCAAGAACAGGGAGCCAGTTTTCTACATGTAGAGCAAAACAGTGCCACAGGCTGAAAAAACCCCGGGTAAGATACAATGAGTCAATTTCATATAAACCTACTGTGTCAAAGCAAAGGAAGAGGCATGAATTTGACAAAAATGGGCTGATGTGCAAAAGTAAAAGTGAAAATTTTTATGATTTTCCATCAGCGCTGTTGAAAATCCAGATTAAGAATTAATATTATGAATATTAGTTAACATTGAAAAACGCATCTGATAACTTGGAATGACTAAGTGGTGTCTGGAGTCTGAGGATAAGCGCGCTGCTATTTCATGGGCGTCTGGACTTTATCACTGCTTTGACGTCGTCTTGCACACCATATTCCTTTTCATATTGCTACAGCAAACAGTGGCAGATGATGTGTAGATGCTAAACCACAGCTCTACTTTCCTATAATGTGGGCTGGCTCTCTTGACTGTATTTCTGAATAGACGTTGTTTCATTCTCTCCCTCATCCCCAACTCCTCTACACCAATTCTTGTCGTGTCTCCCTTCATCTCCTGTTCTCACTTTTCTCAGCCAGCATGCCGCCCCCCTCCCCCCTCCCCCTTCCTGTTGCTATGACTCATCGTCTGTATTAGCGGATAAAATGGTATTAGAGAGCCAGGCACCAAAGGGCACGATCTGCTCATTTATCATGCATACTGTTACATCAGTGCATCTTTACCAATTTGATCCAGCTAATTAAACCATATTGAAAAGCCTATTGTGCCTCTAACAGCGAACAATTATCTTGCTTTGCAATACAGGAACAGTATTCACCACTGATAAACACTCAACAATTAACCTCAAATACCCAGGAGGTTAAATTCAATTTCCGGTGCAAATGCATTTTTATACTTTTCTGCATTGTTTTTGTTTCAGCAATTTAAATATTAATGCACCTGAAACCCCCCAGGAGCACAGTCGCTAAAATAAGGCTGAGTGGCGTTTATATACAAGCAAAGGTTAGAGGCTAAAACAGCGACCTTACTCGAAAAACGAATGCTATAAATACATTTTCTAAAGTGCAGATATGAATAATTGAGAAGTAAAATCCAACACATCCATTTCCTGTTTCACGGTAAATAAGGGCAAATCTGTATTCACCTCGACCCCCTTTAATATCCCACTTCCTGTATCCCACTTCTACTCCTCCACCTACCAATGGTCTCCCCGGTCCCAGCTCGGGACGAGTGCCAGCATCAGCAGCAATAAAATATTTATCAGTCTCCTTCACTTTCACTGCTGTCATGGGAGATAAGACAACCAGACTTGCCTCACTTAGTAAGCCATTCAAAGGTGCTTGAATGCAATATGTGGGGCAAAACCCCAGGAGTCAATGTGGAAGAGCCCTGCTGGCCAACTGGACTGGGACTCACTGGAAATTAAAGGAAAATTCAAATCATGGAATGTCTGGGGACGGCTGAAGCAGAGCATCAAGTTTCTTTTAACTTTGGATAAAGAAAGGGAAAATGGAGATTTTCTCCTGGCAGGTCTTCTCTGGCTGTAGCAGATGTATCAGATGAAGATAGTTCCCTACATAACACCCTAAAAAAAGTGACATTAGTACGGGATGCAAGAGCGGACATTGATTGCTAAATTATATTTTGCCTAATTTGGTCTTCCTTTTAATAGCTCTGGTTAATAATATTCCCTCTATGTTTGAAACACCTGTTTTAAATCTCGGGGAAGCGGAAGTGGTCCAAAGAAGCAGGGTGATAATTACAGACAGAAACGATTTGTGTTCAAAAAGCCAAATAAAGCCGTCACGCAACTTTCCAAATGTTGATAATTTATCCTCAGTCAGCAGAGGGTCAGCGTTTTGGGTAGCGTCTAAGCAGAAACACGGTACTTTCTGTGAAGGGTAGGAAATGTCCAGCATTGCTCATGGTCACACCTAAAGTGCTGATTGTGAACATCATCAAATAGCCTCAATGCCATCGAGAACTACATTATTGATGACACTAATGGGGCTGAAACACATCAGCGTTAGATGAGGGCTGTGGTCCTCCTGGGCTGAAGTGGCACAATTTAAGTGCATCGCGCCCCCATTCACGACCACATTTCCCTTTACCCGCAACCACCTTTATAGCCAAACACGGTGACACTAAACGCTGATGTGTGCTCATCAGATCTCAGCTGGGGACAATTAGAAAGAAGGCCATATTTGATTAAAGAATGCACTCTCACCTGATGGCCTTTAACTTTCTTCCTTTCTTCTTTCCACATGAAAGCGCTGACGCATGCACCGCAGACACACGCCCACACACATCTCTTCTGACAGTTCCTGCTGAACACTCGCTGCATATGGTCACATTTAGGCATGTTTACGCACAAGAACTGCAAAGGGGACTCATGCATGCGAGTTAAAATTAGCGAGGAAGCCTGTTCGCAGCGGGATAATTGAAATGAATGAGGAGGGGAGGTTTACTGGTTGAGCCTGACTGAAATCAAAACAAAGGTTTCAACCTCACAAATTCAAATGATTATTTACTTTGGAGGTCTGGTGTTTGTCTGTGTCTGGATCATTCAGTTAGTGTCACCCTCCTGTATCACTTCTGCCTGCAAACAGTAATAAGAGCAAAGGGTGATGACAGACTCACCCTTAAAGAAAAAGCACAGGATTTGATGCTGTCTAAAAGGAAACTGAACGCACATACATCCCTGCTTGCCTCATTTCCCGTGACCCTTTCTCCTCCTACTTGTACACCAGCCCTTCCTCAACACTAGAATATGTTCTTTTTGGGGGGGTTTGGGACCACCCTCACAGACTGCTTATAGTTGTGCTGCGTCAAACAATCTAGAGAATCATTCGAGCGAATCAAGCGACTGCTCACGCAGAGCTTGTTGATCATTCTACCTGTGTCTATATCATTACTTCCATCTGCTCCGCTCAGTCTGCTTGTATAATGTGACAGGTCTCATAGTCGGCCTCTTAGCAGCGCTGCTGTTTACAAGGTGTTTAGAGCTTCAATTGGTGCCAGTGTTTACTTGCCGGAGCCGCTTACAACGTAAAAGCAAGCGCTGGGACATTGCTGCAGGGTTTTTCACACTGACAATATGTTGTTTCTCAACACGACACCCGCTAAGCAATTCCTGTGAAAAACACATATTCCGAAGCATATGGATATGCAGATAAGAGCTCTGCAAGTCCCAGACATCCACACAGGCATGTGGCTTTATTTATAGTTCTGCCATTCCCAATGATTTATTTCCCTTCAAGACAAACAGCACGGAGATGGCGAGGAGATTTTGAAGAGTGTAAACTTGCTACGTGCTCCATTTTTGTGAAATTCATAGTAAAACGAGCAATGTCTGGTGTTAATTAAGCAGTTTATAAAGCTGCATTCTTGTCGCAAAATCTCATGTTGTGAAACCTTTATTCCAAACAGCTTTGTACCCATTGAATGTTGTGTACAACACAACAGTCTTTGTGGTGTTTTTGCAGCTCTCTCAAGGTGACCGCTCTTATATTATACACACACACACACACACACACACACACACACACACACACACACACACACAAAAAGGTATTTGAAAAACAGTGACACTGCCTCTGTAATGAATGTGAGCTTTAGTGTCGCCCCCCACCCCTGTCGGCCTTTCTACTATACTCTCAACTCATTCAACTGCTAAAGCACACTCATAGGGCACACAAACACTCTCGCTTTCACATTGTATGCATAATTCAGCAGGCATCCAATTATATCTGAAAATAAGTCTATATGAAAATGCAATATTAATAGATTACTTTGTGCCCCGAGGAACTCTCAGTGTAAGAATAAGCTAATTTGAGGTCATCATTTCCTCAGTCATGAACTCTCCCAAATCCTCCCGACTCCAAATAGCACAGAAGAACAAATCTGAAGAGCTTGGAGTAATTCAAAGGCAGCCAGTAATAAGTCACCACAGCTTTTACCTCATTTCTCTGATAACACTACTGTGGTCTGATATGTTTTTTTCTCCCTTTGCACACAACTCACAACAAAAACTTATACAGTGAAATGTGCCTTAAACTCAAGGTTTTTTGCACACACACACATACCCTGTGAAGGTTTAGCAAACATATGACACAAACCAGAAATAACATGTGTTTTATATAGATGATGCTACTACTCAGTCCGCCAGTTTACACACTCTTACTTCAGGCAGATCAAGCTATCCTACTGAACAGTATCTGCTTCTTATGTTGTTTGGTACCATGCAGTTAGACGTTTATGCCTATTATCAGCATTTGTGATGATGGTTATTATTTAGTCTTACTTCAGTTACAAAAAGCTTAAATAAAGGCGGGAGTTACATTGGATCATTAATGTAACTCCTGGAAGTGTTTGCCAATTTACATTAAAAAAAAATCCAACCTTGGTAATAAAGTGTTATTTTCTCTGGGTTGTCTTTATCTGTCTGAAGCAACTTGGTAAGAACTCAATGCGCCTTTTGCGATACATTACTGGGTAGTTCAAATAGAACAGTTTTTGACTGTAGCGCAATTCAAATTCCATATCTGTATTTCTCCCTCACCTCATGGTGTTATCCTTGAAATCAAGGAAGATCAGCAAGGAAAAGAAACAGGAGGTCAAGTTTTAAACATACGACTGCAGCCTTACATTATGTTATGATATATTCAATTATGATATGGCAATTAAAAATTCTATTTGTGCTTTTAGATCAGTTTATATCATGACCAGGTAACAAAAGTATCTTAATTTACTTAAGTCAGTGATGATGACTTTTAAAGACAGGCTTTCAGTGGAAGGATGTGGATGCACCTGCATTTCACTCCCCGTGTATGACTGAGATTAAAGCAGTTTACTCAGCGCAGCACAAACACTCTGGGATCAATATCATAATGAGCACAGCAGGCTTTTGACTCGCTCCCCAACAAGAGCACCTTTCTTGTCCCGAAGCACAAATCACTAAAGAGCCCAGTGGATCAATGTGTCCTTCCTTTTAATGAATGTGCAGTAAACATGATTAATGTCATTATACTCACTGTTTTTCTCCCTGTTTATCTCCTCACATTTCCTTCTCTCTTCATCTTCTAATCTCTTTTATTTTTTTACTCATCTCCATTCCTTTCAAACCTTTCCTCTAATGTGTAGGCGAGACCTTCTCTGAGAACTACAGTCATACAGAGGAGTGCAAGACATGCACTCAGTGCACCGGGTTGATGCGGATGGAGACGCCATGCACCGACTCCAACGATGCCAAATGCATTTGTAACTATAACTATTTCTTCAACACTGTAACTGGCCGTTGTGAGCAGTGTACGGTATGCCCTTTGGGACAGGGCGTGTACTCCCACTGTGATCACGATCACGATACGGTGTGTGAGGAATGTGTCGACGAAACCTTCTCTGACGAGGAAAACTCCCTCGAACCCTGCCTGCCCTGCACCATCTGTGATGAAAACGAAACACAACAAGCTAATTGCACGCCAACCAGTGACACTGTCTGCTACAGTAAGTCTGCACTGCACGCTCTGCACACTCACGTTGGTTTCATATAGTTGAATTTTTTTTAAAGGATATTTTTTCACCTTTGAACGAAACCAAGGTAAAAACGAACCAAGATGGTTTCTATGCCAAACATATCAGGGGTAAAAGTCCGTTTAAAAAGTTAGAAGCTCCACACTAAAACTGCACAGTAGCTACAAGTAATTTTAAAACAGCATCATATATGTCTCAGTCACATTTTGCACAAATCAGCAGGGGTAACTTCCACATGTGTGGGAACAAACGTGGTCAGAGGTCATCCCTGGTCTGATTTTTAAACAGCAGGATGCTCAAAGTTTTAGCATTAAAAGGTCAAAGTTTGCTGCAGTGTCAACAAAGGGACAATGAATAATCGTCTCGACCACAAAACAGAAGCTCAGAATGTCAGAGCTAAGTCAAGCTCCTTGTACCAAAGGAAGCTATAAATTCGCTTGGGTTAGACAAGGCGTGAAATTGACCTCATCAGGGGGCCGCAAAGTTCAAATCTATGGGGTAAAATGTCTTCGCTGGTATTGCTCTCGATTTCCTGTATGAAAAAATGTTCTTCTGCATTATCTTATGGGAAAGCATGCTTGAACCAGTGAGGCAATTTTGAATAAATGCTTCAAAGAATGATCATAATAGATGGAACACTGGCTAAAGGCCTACTAATCTCTTGTGCACATTATCAATGTATTGAAAAATGTTTATGTATAAATTTTGGTATTCAGCAAGGAGCTGTAATAATCCCCTTTTAAACGTTGAGAGGGTTGAGATTTCATGGCCTCAAACACTGGTGGTGGCAGGTGGATATACCAAGTTAATGAGCCTCAGAAATTTGTCAAGCCCATGTTGTAGTAGAGAGGATGACTTGAAGCTTCTTATAATAGATTCTAATGGCAAAAAAGACAATGGAGAAATGAACTGGAGGGAAAAAAAGCAGGAATAATGACTCTAAACATACATAACAACTTTTATATGAGCGCCACATTTAGCATTTTATTATTAATTGATCAGTAAGATAATTTTTTACACCATTCAAATTATGGTCTATTTTTTATATTGTTTGCCACCATGATAAAATGATAAAGAAATCAGACAGATTAATTGCTATTTTCAAAACTAATTAATTAGCTAAAAACTACAATTTTTAAAAAATTAAAATTTAGACTTTAGTTTTAGTTGCCTGAATAATGCATTGGCTCATCTCAAAAATATATATGGTCCAGGCATATAATCTACTTCCACTTGGAATTTCAAAGTAATGCCTACCATTAGCCTGGCCTGTCCAAAAATATCTGCTGTCCCGTAGGCCACAATGCAGCCTTTTGCTGCCCATTTAGCGCCCACCCAAGCAGATCAACTGTGACCCGCCTTGTCCTGAGTGATGGTACTGCAGCAGCAGTAACGGTGGGGACTGGAGATGGCATGATATGTGACTGTTTGAAAAATAATAGCACCAGTGGGCCTGCGGGTAATGGCTGCAGTCACATGCGGTCATGATGATGCTTGCTGACCTTACATGGTGGTCTTTGATACTGTGCATACAGTAAGCTTGGTATGACAAAGGAGAAAGTGCCTTACTGGCAATTTTTACAGGAGGAATTTTTATATTTTATTCTTATCCCGCTGCCTTATTTTTATACAGTAAATAAGATGTGATTAAAGCATTTTAAAGTTCCCAGATCTTCATATCCAGCTGTCACCAAGTGTCAATTACATGATACAATGACAGAGTCAGAAAGAGAAAGAGAGGGCTGCCGCATATGTGCTGTGCTGGTATTCTATGCAGAGGGGTCGATATCAGTCCAGGGATTTCTTCTACTTGTGCTCAGGTTTCGCTGAGTGACCTCTATGAGCACCCACACTTGACTACAGTATGCACACACACACACACACACACACACACATACACACACACACACACACACACACACACACACATGCAAGCTTAGTCGTCTCCAACTTCAGACACACAAATGTTTTATATGAGCATCCCGAATCAATACAACTGATAGCAGGCTAACATGACGCGCGCACACTCTTCCCCTGCCAAGTGTGATTTTATTCCTACGTTTTTCATTAAAGACGCTGCACATGCGTGAACCTTTTTGATCTGAAGCTGTAAACACCTCCGCCACATTTTTATCGAAGACCTTTGATCCTGTTGGCCTTGAGATAGCTTTTCCAAAAGGTGTTGTCCGGCCTCCAGTTGAGCAGGTTTGCATTAAACGTGAAATGCTGAGCATCTGTTTGACAGCTTTTCCAAGAGAAGCGGAGTGAAAGATTAAAAACACAGATAAAGCAGACTTCTTTGCTCTTTTTTACCCCACGCTCATCACCTTCTCTCCTCCCCCTCTTTCTATCTCTTCCCACAGTGGCCCTCAAGTGGCTCGGTAAGCGGAGTGGTGGAAGTTGGCCAGTGTGCATTCAGTGCCTCCACTGCTGCAGTATAATTACTCCTGCTAATCAGAGCACTTTACAGCAGCTCCTCTGTTCATCTGTACCCCCTCCTCCGTCTCTCCTAACACTCTGCCTCTCTGTCTATCCTCCCCTCTACTCTTCCTATTAACCCCCCCTCACAGAAGACAGAGCGCTCACTTGAATAGTTCGTAGTACGTGTGCGTATGATAGATGTGTGCACGGCAGGCAATTGAGATAGAAGCTGAGCTGAGACAGAGGGAGAGTGTTTGGTGGCTGATAAAGAGGTCATTGTGCGTGTTCTGCGCCTGATAGTTGCTCATCTCCACCCTGAACTGGCAGCAGTCAAGACATCAACCACTGCTCAAGACCCTGGGGTTAACTTCACCATAAAGACCTCAATGGCTCATAAAAATTCAATCTTTTTTTTTCTCCCCTTTTGGTCCACACCCCACTAATAAACACATCTCCCTGAACACACAGGCCCACGCTCATAAAATCCAGGGTTAGTTTTATTTAGCGTCACGATTGTTTTAAACCCTCTGCTCCGAAAATTAAATTGTTAAAGTTCCACTGCTGCCTTTAAGCTCCTGCTCTGTTCCAGTTAGTGTATGCAGCCTCTGCAGGCTTATATTTGTCCTTTGGTCTACAGCCAGAGTTTTTTTTTCTTCAACCTATAGAAATGAGAGCATGAAGGAGTCACAATAAAGATGTAGCACACTGTACTTTATGTGTTGAGTCAGAGTTATGCAAAGGATGCTCCCAGGAGAGCTGTCGTCTTGGCTCGGAAAGAGATAAACGATTTACAGCAAATCCTAGGTGAGACTCGTACTGTAAGCATACATCTGCATATAGGGAGCACTGATTGCACCAAAGCGTACTTACAGAAGAGTGACATGATTTAAAAGCCAGTGTGAAGACAAACGTGTAGGGATTGCAACTTATTTGACAAACTGTATATAAGCCTAGACCATCTGCACACTTTCACACCTTCCATTCAAAATGTGCTCTATTTGTGAGCTCAGGTTGCATTGCTAATACCATTAGCCATCCCTGCATTAGCCGGATGATGTATGGCAGAGCTTAGGAAACCTGACTACATCCCAGGAAAGGTCAAGAAATGCATGTAATACAAACACCCATGTTCCATTCCCTCCTTTTAGACAGATCCCAATCAATAGTGCCGCTTTAAATAGGTCTCCGCATTATTTCTGTTTCTAAGTATGGCTCTGTTGTGCTCTGTTTTTCTGTCCCACGAAATATTTTTTCTGCTTTTTCAGCAACCCAATACCCTTACGACAGAACTGCCCCGCCACAGTCATGCAGAAAGACAGACCAACGTGGACTCTTAATGACAAACAGAAAAAAAGTCCAGACAAATTGCCCATCAAGATGCAAATGAACTATTAAAAGAATCATCTGTATGTAATATATGCAACAAATCACCATGAAGAAACCTGAGTATTTGCTATATCAGAAGAAATAGGACAGCTATTGGCTGTCATGGTCCACTGAATATCTTTTTCGTGTTGTTAACATCAGCGGTCACAGCAATCATGTGGTGTGGTTTTCCTTCCATTACTAGTCTTGTCTGGAAGATTGTTCCCTTACTCAATATCCAACATTCATATAATACAGAATATAAATGACATGACACTGATACATTCGAACCATGCATTTAAAGTACGAGCTAGAGGGGAGGTGGGCTGCAAAGTAGCTTGTAGATGTGTTTGCAGGAAAGTTGACCCTAGTTTTTTGGTGGAGCCTTCAAATGAGTGATTTGCCAAAGACGTGTGAAACAGAGTACCAGCTGACTGACGGTCACCTGTTGGAGTTTTTTTTTCTTTTTAGGTTAAATATAACTATGCCATTAGAATAAATTCTATTTAGGGGGCGCTAGCGAGCCAGCAATGGAGTAGGACGTGTTTCTGAAGGCTCCCGCTAACCGAGTTTCAGAATAAATTCTATTTAAATTTTAATTGAATTCTTTATATATAATTATTATTTAAAAAGGATGTTATATCTGATTTTAAATACACCATGTTTAAAGGTTATATTGTACTTATTGATAAAAGCTTAGAACACAGAAATATAATACGTGGAAACCAGATAGCAGCCCTAAAAAAATCATAACATCTGTAAAGAGGGGACACCGAAAGTATTTCGGATTGAGTGTCCCGGTGTTTGGCCATGAAGGAAACCCCAGGAGTCTCCACAGGGTTAATCCTGCAAGTGCAAGACAAAGCTAATGAGGCGCAGCCTGAGGTTCTGGTGGGAATTACTGGCTCAGATCTGAACCAGGCTGCACAACTCCGTCCCCACTCTGCTGTTGTGCTCAGAGGGGTCTTAGATTTGCCTGGACAGACCTCTTACTTGGCCTGCTCGACCACACTTTGACAGAAGGCATAATCTGTAACCTTCTCTGCAGAGCTTTTCTGTCATCTAACAGAATCGCTGCTTTGTAACTTGCAGAACTTTTCAAAACAAATGCATAATATGACAGGAGTGTTGGAGAGATATGATGGATGCATTGTTTTTTCAGAAGAAGCAATGCCATGGAGCTGCTGCAAAATGGAAAATTACATTGAAATAATTAATGGAGCTCACAACGAAAGAGGAAATAGGACAATTTATGAAAATTACTTCTTTACAGACATAGCTATGATAGAAACCAGACCCGTCCAGTAGCACAGTGCTCTTCTCGCTTCTCTGGCCTCAACAAAGGCTAAACTCAATATGATGACCTCGCTAAAACCCCAGACTTTGTTCAGCTAGAAACCATATGGCCTCAATGTTGTGCAGTGCGCAAAGATCACACAGATGGAGATGTGGCGAGGGGAGACCTGGCATGTAAGGCCCAAACTTGGTGTGGGGAAAGCTGAGTGTGTAGTGGGTGGTGGATATTTACCCCCTTAGTTAAAGAGCATTCCTTCTTTCTGCACAGAGCAACTCAGGAAGAACCCATCTGTCTATCAGAAACAGCTGCTACATGAGTGCAGCACGCCAGACATCTGCTTGGGGACTTGGTGACTTGTTTGATTATGGTATATGCACGGGAATATACAATGAAATTAATACATTAAGGTGTTGATTTATACACAGGAAGTGAATAAAGTTTATATGTATATTATACTATATACTTCTATGACTTCTTGGTTCTCAGAGAACTATCTCTATTTTTGTAATGTTTGGATTTTTCCTTTTTTAGACAGTAATGGATGAATAAAAAGATTTTCCCAGAAGTTTTCATACAGTACTCCCCTTAACATTACAAGCAGGGCAAAATTTTCCAGTGCTTTGGTTTATGATAAACTATATATAGCAACAACAAGTGGTGTTGCTGTGAAACTAAAATGGTGAACGCTGTACAGAAAGCTGGTAAAAGTCTCCATGCTGGCACTGGCACAGCCTCCTCAAAATAGTGAGCTCAGAGTGCATCATGTTAACTTCTGAAAATCCTGTCAGCAATGATGCAGTGGAACCAACTTAAAACAAAAGGGCAGTTCTAGTGAAAAGTTTACCTACATTCATCACGGACATGAATGCCATGGTAATTTGGAGCTTCCATGCAGTACACAGTCAGAGACAGAAATAAATATTTTTTTCGCCTGCAATGTGGACAGAATTTAATTGTGCTCTATTTCTATAGCTGTATATAAGCAGTTTAAATAACATGTTTCCTGTCTCATAAATGCTCCTGTCTCTCTGTTTTCTTCCTTATAGATCCTAGTTTACCTACCGATGTCATTCCTACCTCCGATTTGGATATATCTTCATCCTCCCTCCCTGATCCCTTCCTTCCTGATGCCTCCTACAGCCCACTGCCAGGAGGAGAAACGACTACGTCCAGCGCTGGTTCTCCTCGCTTCCTCGGTCACGGCCTCAATGAAAACCTCATACCTATCTACTGCTCTATCCTGGCTGCCATGGTGGTGGGTCTTGCCGCTTATCTCATCTTTAGGAGGTCAGTTTGTGAAGAGAAATAATTAAAAGCAACTCTATGGTCAAGGATATTGGCTCATTTGGGTTTTACAACTTATTCAAAAATATTGCCTGGTGTAGAATGAGTGAACAACGATGGTGGTCTGGATGTTGCTTGGAGCGACATCTGCCCCAGGCAACATCTGGTTGAAAAGTAGTAGTAAGGTGGCTGGTCGAATATTAATTCCAGTTGTGGTTGAAGAGGCTTTAAGCCATTTGTGCTAAAACACACCATAACAAAAAAACCCCAAACTCAGTTCTTAATACTTCAGAGAGCTGTCTCTCTTTTGCTCTCTCTCTCTCACACACACACACACGCGCGCACACACACACACACACACACGCACACACACACACGTTAGTTAGGACGTGCAACCACACATGCAAGCACTCAGACAGACAGATACAAACCCAGGCTATAACACATTTGAAGCAAGTAAACAAGCTCATTAAGGGCATTGATTGTTTGAAAAGTGCCGACCAGAGGAAATTTGAGTGCCAGATTTATCAGCACAGTCACGCACACATCTGGTTAATAACCTCATGTACTTGTTGACATGCATAGACAGACTGTAAATTACATGAATTTCTTTAACACCCAGTATTTTATAAGAAGAGGTGTTTACTGTACTGTACCACTAAATACCTCATGAATATTTAAATTACTGATTCACATTACTTTATCTTCTACAAGAAGAACACTTTGTTGTATTTCTTTTTTATAGTAGTTTGTATATTTATTTTATTTAGTGTTTCTTTTTCTTGTAGTTGTATTCATAACACTAATTATAATTCTGCTTTCTAAGATTCTAGTACAAAATATAACTATGCAGTTTACAGTGATAATGATGACCCATAGCATTTTCTGAAGAAATACAAGTGAAAGTTACTCCATTCTAGCAGCTGGCTGTTGAATTTGAAAGTGGAAGCGACAGCTGTGAATGGATATCTATAAGGTGTTAGAAGCTGTAGCTAGTTAGCTAACTAATGCATTGCAACGAACTGATTTAAAATGCTGTCTCCATCTGGACTTTATAATGTCGATCACACTAAATGTTTGTGGCAAAATCTTTGTGTAATTCACAAATAAGAAACAGAAATAGATGGAAATGGAAATATTCTTTTTGTATAGGACTGTGGAGCTAGTTAGTCCATTAATTCTGAGGATGATGTAAAATATGAAATATAGTTTACTAATTTGTCATTTTAAGGTTTTTGATTTAGAATGATCTTAAATACTAAATGTGTTTAGCTAATATATCCAGTAAAGTGGGCAGAGCAGCTGGGATCTTCGGGTGATATTTTTAGGGTTCTAGCATTGTCGTAGTTCTTTCAGCATAATAAGTAATGTTGTTGCAACTTTCATCATTGCAACTGAATCATCACTTATAATTTTGTACATTCAATAGTTTTGTTTTTGTGTTTCTGGTTTTAGAAATGCTTAAAAAAAGCCAAAGAAAAGTAATACTTTAATGAAAGAAGATTTGTTTTAGTTTAAAACCATGACTGTATCTTTATCGCACTGGATCTTATCTGATGTGCTACTTTTCCACAGGTGGAATAGCTGCAAACAGAACAAACAGGCAGCTAATAACCGTGGAGCTACAAACAACCAGATGGTGACGCCGGAAGGAGAGAAGTTGCACAGTGACAGCGGGATCTCAGTGGACAGTCAGAGTCTGCAGGAGCAGCAGCAGCAACAGCAGCAGGCCCAGGCTGAAGTCCAGCCTCAGCCTTCGCACTCTCATACACAGGAACAGATAGGTAGGCTCAAACCCTAATCCCAGCTTTTCAGTCTTTCCGTTTGATAAATGGGTATTTAAATATCCAAAATGCTTTATCTTTCATCTTTCTGTCCTCTCTTGCTTATTGCAAATCAATTTCCCAGTTCCATGAAAGCATAAAGTGGAAATTGCGTGACCGTGTTCTAATAAAATGATAAGCCTGATGGGAGCTAAGGTGCTTCGCTCCATGAAAACCTGGCCTCTCATCACAGAAACTTAGACTCATCCCAGACTAAATACATTTTTCCTTCACGTGGTATTACTTTCGGTGCCAAGGAAAGTCTACCTCGATTAAATCAAGATATTCTACTGAGATTTTATCAATGTGTGTAGTGGTGTTTTTTGAGCATTGTGCAAGCTTTTCTCTCAGAGGGAAGACACATTTCTGCGGGATTGAGATCAAAAGCAGTATATCACCTAACAGCGGGACTAAAATCTACATTTAGCTGCCAAAGGCAGGTAGGTGAGGCCAAGTCTTACAGGTATTCACGATGCATTAGACTCAAGGAATGCACAGACTACGGCTCTGTAGGAAACCTGCCGTCAAAACAAGGTGAAAAATTTCAGTGTTGACAGAATTTTGACACAGATTCCATCTCAGTCAGTACATTGGAGGAATGTATAGACTGGGTATGTAACTGTATATGTATGATCTGTATTTGACTTTACCACTACTCCTCCATATATTTGTCTCTGGGGACTTGGGAAGTGTTTCTGGTGTAGGTCTTTAGGACAGATTGTGCAATGCAGACATGAAAGCCAGACAACATCTAAAAGGTTTGTTTGGAAGATGAACTCAATAAATGATGTCTGGCTTAGAACCAACATTATGCACTTTACTAATCTATTATAAAGCAATTTACCATGTCCTTAATTTACTTCTTGTAATGCAGTGCATTAAGATGGAGAAACGCAGAGATGAACTTTTTTGTGTGTGTTTTTGTTTGTCTGAGATATCTGCCATTACTGTTAATATAGATATATTAAGATAACTCCGAGTATACATTTTTTTCTAGTGCTTTGCCATTTTTGTCTGCAAGCCAGAATTTCTGTGCTTCCTACTAAAGGCATAAATATTGTTAAAATTTTTTGTTTGTTTTAAATAAAGAGCTGTGACATTTTCAAAATTAGCTGGGAACTTTAGATTGTAGGGAATGTTACTGGATCAGGAAAAATCTGTGCATTTTGGGGACTAACTTGCAGATTTATATATGTTAAAGCAGCATTAATGTGTATGTTGAAATGTGTTTTGGATTGTTGGGAACAGCAGTACTTTTTAGCAAATTCATTATCAAGCTTTGGATGTAAAGACAATGTTTTACAGGATCAATATGTTAGAGGGATTTGATCACAATAGCTACCCCCCCCAAAATGCCAGTATCATCCCTTAACCAGTACAAGAAATATAAATGCAAACATTGAATTATTACTATATTTGAGCCCAGTTATCTCAAATTATACCAGTCTTTTATGACCATCTAATTCTCCTTTTAAATCAATATAAGATCAGGTGATTTCATTCGCTGCATAGCACTGAATATATAAACGCGAAGAATGAGGCTCGGTGAGAATTGTCACTGAATGTCTGGAAAAAAAGAGCCTTGGAGGATAAAAGTAAGTGCTCCAGGAATGTGAAGTGGCCTCTGCACAACACTGAGCCATCCATCGTCCTTCAATTCTCAAATAGCACTTACAAAATGAAACCAGCTTTTTTATTTGATTTATACATATAAGACTGAGTTTTTTCCTCTACTGAAGAGGTCTTAAGTTCACTCGTGATCTTGTTTTCAGTTGTTCTCGCTTGTCCTGTTCTTTCTCAGGGTTTTATTTTTCCCTTCCAAAGCATATTGTGTAAAGATTAAGAAATTGTTATAATAAGGATAATAGTATGCGAAGACAAACAACTGACAAATCCTTGCTTCTACAATCCGAACCACTGTGTCTGGTCTAGGATACCCATTACATTCTAATGAGGCCTGGAAAAAGCTCATTTTGTTCTTGTGTTTTGTTTGAGTACCTCTTTTCATTCTTCCACTCAACAAATGTGAAGCCCGCTGTATGTCAAAGAAAAGAAAGGAATTTCTTTTGGAGGCAAAGTTTGGCATTGGTTCATTGAGAGGATGACTGCCTGCTTAACACTGTCACCTCTTTAACGGACTGGCTCATTAGCAGGTGTTACGAGATGGGATCCAGGCCTGGGCTCCAAATCTGATGTAGTATCAGTGTTTAGCACGTGCTAATTGGCATTACCACCGTCTGTCGGTGCGGAAGCCATTAAAAAGGCAGCAAATGTGCTTGTGCAGGGGGTTGTGTGCTCTTACACAACCAACTGGGACTTTAAAAAAAGCAAAGGAGTGAGAATATGCGCCATAAATCCATGATAATCGCAGGGGGTTTCCTGTTTCCACTGAACCATAGTTAACTGGTAGCTAAAGTAATGGGAACAGCTTCAGTCAAAACAAGTCAAAGAGGCTTTTAAAACCAGAAACCGAGCACTGAAAATGTCCCCTCGCTTTGACTGACACACTCAATGAGGGTATTCCCTGCATGATTCACTGGTGAGGGGTGAGACCTCCAAGATGAAGGGTCCTCAGCCTCATTTCTGTCTGCTCATCTGAATTGAAAAGAACCATCTCATCTGTGCAGCACCCCTCCCTGAACTCTCCCTCGCTTACTGCCTGCTTCCCCCTATGAATTGTGCAGATTGTATGTGTTTAAAATTTAAACGAGACCTTATTGCCCAAGAAACTGAGTCAAAGCAGGTGTCAGTCAAAAAATATTTAAAGGATTGTCAGAGTCATTGGAAAAAACAAAAGACCTGATGATGAAAGGTTAGAAATTTTAATGTCAAAACTGACCTAAAATAACACTGTAGCAAATTTACAGTCCCAGATTTATGCTGCTTAATCTTCCTATGAAAGCCACTGACAGAAGGTTTGCTGAAAACGCAGAGGGACGACAGTCTTTATTGCATCACTACAGTCCACCTCCATCATGGGGTTTACATGTGGGATTGCGTTTGAGAGCCCACGGTACCTGCAGAATCTCAACAGTACATTCTTTACTCTGTAACATTATACAGCTGAAAGTTAGAGTAATAATGCAGCTGAGTCATGTTACAAATCACTAATGCAATTTCTGCAGTACAAGAGGGATGACTCATAACTGGTTGTCATCCTCCCACATTAGCAAGTTTGCAAAAACTTCTCTGGGTGGAAGTATTCTCACTGCTGTTGTTATCTGAATAATGAGCATAGAAGTAGGCAGCAGACACCCCGCGTGAAATAAGTATGTATTTGGTGCACAGTAGAGCTGCAATGAGTCGACTAACTGATTAAATTATTCTAAACTACTTTAATAATTGGTTAAGTGGTTTGATTACCCTGAAGATGTTGGTTTAACAAATCAACACACTTGATGGTATCAACAAGGATTTAGGCTGTTTTTTCCCCCAAAGCCAGAGTCTTATTATTTCATCTGTTTTTGTCAAATCCACAATCAAGGAGCAATTAGGTCTCAGAAATAAGTTCACAACTAAATTAAATATTCACCCTCTAATGTCCTGACTAATATTCAGCTTCCCTTTTTATCCCAGGATGTAGAAGCAAATTTCTGAAGTGCTGGGAACCTGGTGACTAGTTTTTTGAATTAGCCTCTGGGGACAACCACCAGCTGGGGCTTCCAGTGTAGAGAACAGGCATCTGGTGCAAGACTTGCTGCTCTGTAAACCAGGGATTCTTTACAAAGTCAGATACATAAAAAAAAACAAAAAACTATAAAAATCTAAATTATGATCAGAGCCTAGCTTAAGGTTCAAGGTTGTATTTTGGCAAACGAGTTCACTCTATTGCTCCCACCATGTGCTGTTGTTGGCATTGTGCAAATGCACAATTGGGGTACAAATATCTTGCCCCATGACACAAGTGCATAAGCAGATAATTGATATAAAAAAAAAGACTATGGAGATTCATCAGCTTGGTACATGCTATCACAAATGCCTGATGACAAATAAAAATACAAAAAAGAGGGACCAGGCAAATTTAGCAAATAGGTTTATAATTTAGGAAGAAAAGACTGTGTTCATGCAGGGTTTAGTTAATCAAGTAAACACAAAAATATGTAGTATCCTTTTAAGTGCCCTAAAAATGAAAATGGATTTAAATGGAATAAAATGAGTTCTGAAATGAATATAAGTAGTGCTATTTGATAGTAAACTATCAAAAGAAAAACAGATATATATGTGAACATAGTAAAACACTGACTCTTAAACTTTTCCTTTGAGTTCTTGTGACAATCATGAAACCACAAATCACAATCACAATTGGCAAATTTCAAAGCTTAACAGTGGCTTTGGATCCAATCAGGATTCCCTGAATGTTCTGATTGGAAAAAAAAAGAGTCTGTAACAAGGCTTCGCTCTGATGGGGAGTTCACGTTTCAGAGTAGACCTGATTGAACTGGTTCAGTGAAAGACAGTTTGTATTGATTCTCGGAATGAGGTCGGACTTTATAAAACAGCCATGTGGCTATTATTATCAATGCTGCCTCTGAAATGAGGTGCATTGCCAGTTCAGAAACAGTTGGACTGAAGCAGAAGTGCAGGTGCAAGCCACTGTGTGTCTGTGTGCATGAACTTGTGCGTGATACAGATGGCTGGGCACTGGCCAGTGTCAGAGTCTTTCTGCTCTGTGTCACTGAGGATGCCTGTAGAGTGTCTGTTTAAGCAGAAGGAAGAGACGAGTGCTTTGGACTGCCGCTGGACATAATCAGAGTAGATGGAGAAAGGAAGCAGAAAAACTGGGTGTAGCGATCTTAGTGCTCTTAGTGCAGTATGATGTTTGGAAAAGGATTTTGTAGGAGGAGAGTGACACTATAGGTAGTCCCTTCTTCAAACTGTGTTGTACTGTAGTTCACTTTCACAAGTCTTCATTCCCAAGGTGTTTCCATGGTTTCCCTCAATCAGCTTTGTTTCCCATCCTCATGGAGCTAATGATCCAGTTTAACAAGCTTGAATGAGTGGATGACACCATAGGGCCCTCTACAGGGTAGTGTGTGATTATCCAGAGTTTTAGAGGTTTTACATGACTTATAGTAAGTAGTTTATTTTTTGGTGAATGGATAGTTATAACATTCGGGTGATTAGAAACATTTCCTCGTGATTAAGAAACTTTTTGAAGAAAATAGAACAAGGATCTTTCCAGTGCGAGACACAAGAAACAGTGTTGGTATGAGTGAAATTTCAAGATAATAAAAGAAGAGCTCTACAACTAAAAAAACCCCACCAGTGTCTTCTTTTCACAGCCTGACATATATCTTATCTTTTTCTGCAGTGGTTAGGGTGGATGGGGGTCCCCAGCCTGACTCGCCTCCCCCTGAAGTCTGAGGAGACGGAGGCCCAAGACAAGGAGAAGACAGTGGGGACTTAAACAGTGGACCAAAAGGAAGACAGGCGGCCACAGAATGTAAAAACTGACTCTGATTTATATCTGAAGCTGCCACAGAGCGACATTTCGACTGATAAGGACCTCCCAGCACCTTTGGGCCACACGCTGACTCTTCCTCCATGCACATACAGTGTGCCTGGACACAATCTCTTTGGCAATATCAACCAAAATCTGAACCCGTGTTACACAGATAGGTAGATATTTGCCAGTGCATCTTGTATTACCTGACTATTCCAGTATGACATGACATAATTCTCACTAGCTGCCAGTTTAGAACCTCCTATCCATCTCAAAGCTTTTCATTTACCTTTAAATTTTATGATCACTTGCAATGAAACATCTATGCCTGATAGGTAAATAGGTAGAAAGACACTTCATTATATTCCCTCTTTTTTCATGAGCATCGAAGAGACAAAGGGAGCTTGTCCGTCTCACATCTTGCTCTGTGGCGTCCCACTCTTGGATAATCCTCTGCCTCTCTCCACGAGATTCACTCTATTAGACCCCCACTGTCATCAGCGATACGAAAAGCAACAGGGGAGCCGTGAGTCACTCCCAACTTCTTCTGAAATTTCTTTCTCTTGTATCATTTAACCACAGATGCGTTTCATGTCATGTTGTCTTATAAAAAGTCTGCGTCATTGTTTGAGATTGGCTACGCCGACTGATGCGAGTGACTCATATTTGGAAAAAGAGGTTAACTGTTTTGTTTTGTTTTTGCCTCAGTGAGATGCTTCTTCCTGACTTTCTCTCACAAACTAACCTCCGTTACGGCACCTAAAAAGGATTGTGTTTCGGTAATTTCACGCTTTTAATTCAACATACGCAAATGTATATCTTCTGTTTATGGTGTGGTACTTTAATTTTGTGGCTTGAGCTACATGGCTGATTCAGCAGTGGTCCTCCACACTCCTCCGTGGAGCCTGGATGTGCAACATGAGAGGGAACGTCTCTGCATTGTGGAGCTCTGCTGACTCATTGCAATGAGTTAACATGCCTGATGGGAAGGGGAAGCCGTCTAATGAGCAACAAACTACGTCATCAGTGCTCATTAAACTGATGTTTAAATGAATCTGGGACACAAAATCAGCAACAAGGAATCCCATCTATAACAATTTACGCTTACTGAGTGGAAAATTGGGACAACCCTCAGAGGCACACTTTCATTTCATAATCTGCACAAGCAACTACATCTTCACATTCTCACTCTTGCAGTCTTTCATGCAGCTTTGTCTGAGTCTGATAAACAGTGTGGAGGTGCTAATGCTTTGCCGCTGGCACTCACATCAACACGGGACCCATTAGAGAGACATCCTGACAGGCAGGTAGTAATTACCTCAGGGTTTCAGCTTCATTTACCCTCTGCTCCACTCTCATTGGGATTAATGCTGTGGACAACAGAGGGGTGACTACGCCCTCGCTGAAGCCTCAACGCCACATTACAAATCCTTTATCCCACTCTGAGGCTGCTGACATTTACTACATTGGCTGGTGATATAAAAGCACTTAGTCCAGGCTCACATCTAAAGCTGGGTGACACCTTTTATCATGGAGGACCACTTTTATGCTGCCCCCCTCCTGTTGCCTAACGTAGCTGTAAAAGCAATTGACATAGATACCTTGCAAAAGATTGTAGCTGAGCTCACCTGCATTGCTTTAGCATTCATTCCTTCAGGGGCACGTATCATCTCAGGGTCCCTCTTAATGTGGTGTGGATAAAATGATAAAGAGATCTTCAGAAAATTAGTGTGAATCATCTGTAAGTTGTGTAATAGACCTGCTAAGTAGACAAGTAAAGTAGCTAGAAAGACACGGGTTGATATAGATTCAGGATCTAGAAACAGAATCATTTAAAAGAATAGTTTGATTGCTTTTTTCACGAATATTTTGATGAGAAGATTGTTGCTAATGTCAGATCTGAACATTCAATATGATGCTCTCTGAGGCCGGTTAGCTTAGCTTAGAATTAATACTACAAAACGGGGGAAATGGTTAGCTCTGGTCAAAGGTACAAAATTCACCTACCTGTACCAAGTTCCCTAATAAACACATCACTTCACCTAGCTTCATACGAAACCTCACATGTAAGAGATGACACATGGCTTTTAAACGGGGATTATTTGTTATACCATTACCTATGGACAAGTGGATGTGTTTACTTGTTAGCAGAACTTGTCGAATTTAATGACCACCAGATAGGAAATGTCACACAGTGAGAAGAAGACAGAGAAAGTGAGTCATTATATCCCACATGCATCAATCACCTGGTCACCAACAGCTCAAGACAATTAAACTTTCTCTTCACTTGTGATCCATGAATCACTGCAGCATAATGAATGGAAGCAAATAAAACTCTGCTGTCCTTTGCTCACACCTCCTCAGCTGATGCGGTGCGGACATGTGACCACACACACATACAGACAGTGTATGATTCACTCCTCTATTGTAAGAGCCGGTATGAGTCATCCCGATCCTAGCTCTGGCAGTGACATTAAAGCAGACTCTGCTACAGTATGAGCGACCAGAGTGTTGACTTAACAGGAAAGTAAAAAAAAACCCCTTACTCCACGACTGCATCCCCCTGAGGCCCAATCAGCCCTCCACCATTGAACTCATATACCCTGAACTGACTTATTCTGTGTTACTCTAACAGCTTGTAAAGTGAGACACACTGTAGGAATCTACAACCTGAATATAAACAGAAATATATGCAAGACCAATTCAAGGATAAGGTTTGAGTAGCCCTAAGTTTTTGTTGTAAATTGATTTTTCTTTTTTGTCTTTACATTTTCCTGTTTGTTTGTATGAATGAACAATATTACACTTTTGGAATCCGTATTTTTTCTAACTGATGTTATTTTGTAGCACTTATTAGACATAATATGAATGCACTCAAAGAGTGTACCACAGTTCAAGTGCCTGTGTACAGTGTCCAGTATCTTTGAGTTCAGATGTATGGCTAGTTTTCTTTTGCAGTTTTCCACTTATTTTGTGTTTTTTGTGTATTTTTAAAAATATTTTCAGAGCTAATGAAGGTTTCTAGTAAATCGAAGTCAGCACTATAGATGAACCTTGGAGACGCAAGCAAACTGTATAAACTTGGCACCAGTGTAAAGAGACTTACAGTACAAATAGGTTGCCAGTGAACACATACTATATGTTAACATGCTATAAATACTGGCAACTAACAGGGTCATGTAGCATTGCATAAACATGCCACCCAGGACTTCTACTCTTAAGCTCACACATACTATTTGTCAATAGAAATCAGCTCTACGGTACTGATTTTTTGCATGTACAGTAAGTTTTATCACATACCTCCATCACAGAGGCAACAAGATATGTAATCTACAGTAAAATGAAGTCTATGGGGAGGTTCACTGTGATACTCTGTGATATTATTACTTGATACAGATAGATCAGGACTTGGTCCCAGTAAAGCTGAATGTCATCTGCAGTAACCTACTAATGTAAAATGCATTATGTAAATGTGAATTTCTTAGCGTTGATACAATACAGAAAAATACCCTAGAAAATGTATAAAAACAAAAATATGTGCAAGTGTAATGGACATCCATATTAAAATAAACAGATGTCATTGCATTATTTGTCTACTCTGTCTTTGTAGCTACACTGAGATTGATTATATTCACACGAATTGATAAATATGGTGTTAATATTATTGGTTAAAGGAAGAGCTTGAGATCTTGGCAAACCTGCTTGCTAAAAAGCGATGTGTTTTGCAAATATGAAACCTGTGCCAGCTGTTGATTAGCTTAGAGTAGCTCAAAGAATACAAGGAGGAAAACTAATAAAGCTTCAGTGTTTAAGCATTAAGATATTAAAATAAAATGAACAATTGCCACATTTAATTTCAGTGTAATAACTTTTTGTCATCACCTTAAAAACATGAAAAATTATGCAACAGTTGTAGATGGGTGAAAGTATGGACTTAATAATCCGGTTTGGCATATATTATTGCCTGCTTGCAAATGCTTTTATTGTCTGGTAGAACGCTGCGTCTTAATAGTTTATGAATTGCAGATCATTTCAGGCTCGGAGATATTTTTAGGCTGTTTTCGTTGTACATTTCCATTTCCAGTGACGTTTGAATCGGTAGACTTTGAGGTCCACCCCCCCAAAAACACTGCAGCTTGCAGGTTTTTAATAAACTTGAAGCAGTTCATTAAGGATTTATGCTAATGAGTCCACTCTCTGAAATCATCCTTCAGTTTAAGTTTCATAACTGACTGCATGACATGTACATCATTTACTTTAATATCCTGAAATGATTTCCTCTTTCCTTTGCCCATTTAAAGTGTTTTTTTTATGCATGGCTTGTATTTTCTTGGTTTCATATCAAAATCCGTGAAAACCAGGAGTACGTGGAATAGCAGTGTAGTGGTTAGCACTGTTCCTTGATGGCAAGAAGGTTTTGAGTGATGCTACGTTGGGGTACTTCTGTGCGAAGTTTAGATGTGTCTATGTGGGTTTCCATCCCCCCACAGTCCAAACTTGCTGGTTAGATTAATAAAGGGTTAAAAAAAATCACTTAAACTGCATATTATAATGTGCTGCATGAATGTATGTGATTTGTAGCCCAAGGGACTTATTGAGCTAAGTAAGACTAGAAGAGCAGTACAGTATAAATGTTCGTATATTTTCAGTCCATACAACATCATGCTGTAATCGATTAAATTTAGAAGCACTCGTAGACTGATTTGTTAGCTGCAGACACAGCCAGGCAAGCTACTGTATACTTGTGGTCAGCATGAGGAGAAAACACAATTGTGGTTAGAAGTTTACAAACAGTCATCATGGGCATGACCGTCATGGTAATTTGGGGCTTTTAATGATTTCTTTGAACTGTTCTTTGTCAGAGGGTAATGATTTTAGAGGAGACATATTTAATTTAAAATCCAATAAGAACCGGATGCACAAGTTTAAATTTATTTAGAGTTTTCTCTAATTCACAAGGGGGTCAAAAGTTTGCTGGCATGAAAAGAATACTCAGGACCAATACTCAGACCAATGGGTCCAAAGAACTGAAGGAGAATTGTAGATTTACTTAAGCTGGGAAGACTTTTTAAACAACTGAAGATTCCAATTTCATTAATTCAAACAATGTTAAGTATTTGCATGTGTCTTTGCAAGTATTTGCTAAAGCAGGGGTAGGCAACTCCAAGCCTCGAGTGCTGGTGTCCTGGAGGTTTTAGATGTGTCCATGATCCATCACAGCTGATTTAAAGGGCTAAATGACTCCTCAGCATTTCTTGAAGTTCTCCAGAGGCCTGGTAATGAACTAATCATTTGATTCAGGTGTGTTAACCCAGGGTGCGATCTAAAACCTGCAGGAAACCGGCAATCGAGGCCTGGAGTTGCCTACCCCTGTGCTAAAGCCTGGAAGAAGACCCAACTGTCATGCTCAGATGGGAGGAAATCAGTTAGGATGTTCTGGACCAAGCCAGGAGCCACGGAGACTCAAAGCTCTCGTGAACTGGAAACTGCTGGAGCACCAGCATCACTGTCCACAGTGAAGCCAGTTTTACATTGCTTTGGGTCAAGAGGGTGCCAACCAAGAGAGAAGCCCCACCTCCAAAATCGACACCTTTAATGCAGCTTGACACATAATCTAAAGAGGGTGGGAAAAATCTCAGCAAGCTTTTTGTCATTGGGAAAATCATAAAAGATTATTTAAAATATTTCCAAAACGGAACACACAGGTGTCATAATCTCACAGAGCTATCAACATTTTAACATTTCCCACCCTCCTAGTTTTGATGATAGGCAATTTTTGTTGTTTTTTCCCCCCTTTTCAAAAACACCCAAAAACATTGTGAAAATGACCTCAAGCAAATGAAAATAAAATGCTTAAACCAGAAAGAATGGCGTGCTGGACTCACAGCCAAACCACAGTTTAAAACAAGACCATATGTGAAGGTCTACTGGACCCAGAGTGCGGTTCTCTACAGTCTTATCACCACTTAAACGTTTTGGATTCCAGATGGAATTTTTGTTCCTGCTACGTGTCAGAGACGAATCCTCAGCGATAAATCCTTCATCAACAACGAAATGACATAATAGCAAGAAAATGATCAAGAACGGTACTAACGTCTGTTCTGGTTCAATTTTTGTGAAATAGCACAACAGTTAAAAAAATGAACTAAAGGAATACAACAGGAAAGTGATGAAATGTTTTTGTACAGCTCCCCCCTTCACTAGTTTCTACTGAATGCAACAAAGCAGAGCAAGATGGGGTTGACAGATAAATTTTAATTTGATCAGCTGGGAACATTTACATGGAAACACTAATCAACAGAAGTTTTTCCTTCTATCAAGATTAATCAGGACTCCAACTCAGCTGAAATGACAAAAAAGCCCATAAAGAGATGAAATGAAAGAGATACGCCAACTTGAAGCAAATGTGCGAACATGCTCGAGGCGATACAACTGAAACTTGTCTGTGTGACTAATTTAAAAAAGAAACAAGCACCTACAAGAAGAATGTCTCAGCTTGGCTCTCGTTTGTTGATGAATGCTTTATTTGTAAATTTAAATCAGCAGGTTATAGCTTTATTCATTCACATAGACATTTATTTATACACTTAGATAAATTCATCAGATTTTTGCTAACAGGGCTTACACACTCCATCAGCACTTAATGGGCTAAAATGTGCATGGCGATTAATCATATCTGATGGATTCATGGCACAAAAACAGATGAGAAAGAAAAATTGATTTTTTTCTCAAAGAAACCGAAAGAAATATAATAATATAGTTATTTTAAATATGTCATGTGTTAAAAATAGAAAAGTCCAGTCATAAGGAACATATATAAAACAGATCTTTGTCATTATCTAAAAGATTTAATGATGACCAAAGGCAAAAATTTAATGTGGGCATTTCAATAAATATGCAGGAAATTTCTTAATAAAGCCAAAAGACATGAGACTTTCTTAACGTCTGAAAATGTGGTTGTCTGAAACTTCGGGGAATTTCAGCCAAACCCTGATATTATGAACCAGTCGCACTATTGGACTGACATGAGTGCAAAGTTGAGGTTCACAGTACTTTCACATGTGCTGCAGCAGGCAAGCATAAAAAGAACCAGTCACACCGATCATGTCAATACTTGGAATTAGGCGCTAAATAAATCCATCCTTTTGTGAGACTGTGAGTGTGTTTTTTAGAAGAAGAACCTGTTGCACAAAAAAGCTTTTGGGCCAACATCAAACTTGTAAAGAGAACTTAATGAGATTTGACTGATGATTCGACTCATGAGGTGTTTAATGTTCAGGTGACCACTGAAATAAAAGTGTTATGACCCAGACATGATTTTGTATTCTGTGTTATTGTTTTCCCTCCTCCCTGCCTGAGGAGTGGTGTTCATTTTGTTCTATGCTTTCAGTTATGTAAGCTCTATGTGGCAGATGACCATAGGTTGGTGACCGGAGGTGCCAGCTTTAAATTAGGACCTGATACGACTGGATTAGCCCTGTCTGTTTCCAGACTCCACACCAGCCTATGCTGTCTGTCATTGTAGTGTCGTTGAGGCTAGAAGAGCTAGATTACCATCTACTTACATGTTTAAAATGTAGTGCTGGTAGCTGTGAGGTTGTTTTAGCAACCTTCTCTAATGTTTATGTCTGGGAGTTTTTCTTTTTATCTCTATGGTGGAAGGTAAGATTTTTTTTTTCTATTGTTTTGGTCGTGCCCACCATGGCATGCTCTATCCAAAATATCTGGCTTGGACTACAAATTTCACCATGGAGCTAGTCCTTAATTGTGAGTAGGGGACAAGATGGCCATGTTTTTGTTGCACTCTGATTTATGTTAAAAAGGATGTGAGAAATGTCTTGGCATTGTACACCTGGAGGAATTTCCAACATGGCTCCTGAGTGGTAAAACTTGCCTCTCACTTTGGACAGAGGACTGTGGTCTATACAGTGAGACACAGTCATGGCTGTGTTATGGATAAAGTGTCACTTAAAGAGGTTAACACATTTGATGAAATGATGAAAATGGATGGATGGATAATGACAGAGATTCAATTTTATTCCATTTCACCTTCAGTTCTTGTTTTTCCTTTCTCATTTGAAAATGGCTCAACACTAGTGGCAACAATCGCCACTTCCTCTGAGAGAGAAAAAACACGATTCAAGCCAAAATGTGGCTTTCATGTTTTTTAAACATTGACTGCTACATGTCACACCTCTGACTCAGTTCCTCACTACAGCAGAGCAGGTTGGAGTGAAATCAAAATTCATCAAACACTGAAACACATCTGCTTGGAAACGTTTTGGACTGTTGCTTCAGTCGGTCAATCTACATCTGCAAACAATGTGAGCTGACATTATGAAGGAGGATATTTTTAGAGAGCAGTGGGTTTTTTTCACAAAGTGGAGGAAGGAGTAAATCTGTGAAGGTCTTCCAACAGGATCCCAGAGGTTGAACTCTGCACTCCTATGCTAAAACACCTGACAGATAAACATACAAGACATAAGAGCAAACAGCATGCATGCATAGCTTCAGAGAAAAGGAAACATGGGGCCATTTTTACCAGATTTTTGTGTTACGTTACTGTTACTGTTTCTGCTTTATCA